GGGCGAGAGTAGCGGGCAACGGGTGGTAATAGAGGGGGGGGGGGGGGGGGGGGGGGGTGGTGGATACAAACACAACGTGAAAATAAGACTTGTGGAATCAAAGATAAAAACGACAACCGAGCGGACTTTGTGGACTTCTGTGGAGAACTTTAGATTTGTGTTGCTCTTACTTTTCTTCTTCCTCCGAGCACTAAAACCTGACGGAGGAGATCCGACGGACTTGAACCGGCGGCTCCGTCCGCGCTGATTGGCGCTCTAATCCAAAAACGGCACTAGAAAAAAAATTCCTACAAAATAAAAGTAATCCTCTGAGGAGCGAGGTGCCAAATGGGAGAGAAAGTTAAGCGGAAAATAAAGAGGAAATGAGCTGCTGGAGAAGCGTTTCACTTTTTATTTCACCGCTGCACTTGGGTTTTTGGGAAAAGGGTCACTCACCATTTTTGCTTGTTTAAAAAGGAATTCAGAGCATTGAAGATGTTTGTATGAGGTTATATTTTTCCATTGCTATGATGAAAATGAAGTAAAAACAACAATAAAATGATATGAAACATTCCCCAAGCAGTTCTGGTGATTTGGGTCTTTCTGTTGGTTTGAAACGCTCAAAGTTCTACAGAAACTTGCTCAAGTCTGCCTGCTTCACTTTCAGTCTGTGACCACAAGTGAACATATTATTCTCCTGGAGATGAAAGTGAAATGTTTAACGGCTTCAGAGCTTTTATTTTGTAGGGGTTCGACACCCGTAAAGAGGTACTTCCTGTGTTGAGATGAACCTGGAAACAAGATTACTGAATTGTGAATCATTTAACGCCAATCTGCTTTTATTTCATATTCAAATTTAGCGAACTAATAAAGTCTATATTGTACTGAACGATCTGCTGATGATTATCTTGAAGATGCACACCTGAAATTACATGTCTAGAGAAGAAGAAACACACCTGAGATTGTATATCTAGAGAAGAAGAAACACCTGAGATTACATGTCTGGAGAAGAAAAACACACCTGAGATTACATGTCTAGAGAAGAAGAAACACCTGAGATTACATGTCTAGAGAAGAAGAAACGCACCTGAGATTACATGTC